AAAAAGAAATGAAGAAAGTAGCAGGGGGGTGGGGGAGGGATGAAAGGAGGGTGTCAATGAGGGAAAAGGGAGAAAAATCTGTAACAAAAATAAATTATTAAAAAAATTAAAATTAAAAAAAAAATGGAGGCACTAACTGAAATAAAGAATAATTTACACAGATTCAATAGTAGAGTAGGTAAAGCCAAGAAGCAAACCATTGATTTGGAATGGAAGGAAGCAAAAAACACCCAATTAGAACAGCAAAAAGAAAAGAGAATCCATAAGAAGGAGGATAGTGTAAGGAGCCTCTGGGACAACTTCAAGCGTACCAACATTCGCATCATGGGGTTGCCAGGAGAAAAGAGACAGCAAGAAATTGAAAACCTATTTGAAACAATAATGACAGAAAACTTTCCTAACTTGGTGAAGGAAACAGACATACAAGTCCAGGAAGCACAGATAGTCCCAAACAAGATGAACCCAAAGGGATCCACACCAAGATACAGAATAATCAAAATGCTAAAGGTTAAAGACAAAGAGAATCTTAAAAGCAACAAGAGAAAAGCAGTTAGTTATCTACAGGGCAACTCCCATAAGACTGTCAGCTGATTTCTCAAAAGAAACTTTGCAGGCCAGAAGGGAGTAGCAAGAAATACTCAGAGTGATGAAAAGCAAGAACCTACAAATAAGATTAGTCTATTCTGCAAAGCTATCATTTAGAATTGATGGACAGCCCTGGCTGGTTTGGCTCAGTGGTCAGAGTCATGGGTTCGATTCCAATCAAGGGTACGTACCTCAGTTGCAAATCATCCCCGGCCCTCGTTGGGGTCATATGGGAGGCAACCAATTGATATTTCTCTCACATCGACGATTCTCTCTCTCTCTCTCTCCCTCCCACTCTGTTTGGAAATAGATGGAAAAATATCCTTGGGTGAGAATTTAAAAATAGATGATAGATAGATAGATAGATAGATAGATAGATAGATAGATGATAGATAGATAGATAGATAGATAGAAAGAAAGAATCAATGGACATATAGTTTCCCATATAAGAAAAAGCTGAAGGAATTTATCACCACCAAACCAGTATTATATGAAATGTTGAAGGGTCTTCTTGAAGAAAAAGAAGATAAAAAATATGAACAATATAATGGCAATAAATGCATATCTATTGCCAATTGAATCTACAAACAAAATGAACAAGCAGAACAGAAACAGACTCATAGATACAGAGAACATTTTGTTGGTTGCCAGATGGGAGGGGCATTGGGGGAATGGGTGAAAAAGGTGAAGGGGTTAAGAAGTATAAATTGGTTGTTAGACTGACAAACCTCAAAGGGAAGGGAGGAGAGGGAGGGAAGAAATGAACCAAAGAACTTATATGCATATATATGCATAACCAATGGACACAGACAACAGTGTGGGGAAAGGCAGGAGGGGGTCAATAAGGGAAAAAGGAGGAACATCTGTAATACATTCAACAATAAAGATAAGTTTAAAAAAACAACACAAAAACTGGAAAACAAGTGTTGGCAAGAATGTGGATTATTGGAACCTTTGAGAACTGTTGGTGGAAAGGTAAAACTATGATATAAGCACTATTGAAAACAGTGTGGAGTTTTCTCAAAAATTAAAAAAAAAAAAAAAGAATTACCGTATGATCCAGCAATCCCATAATACCCAAAAGAATTGAAAGCAGACTCTTGAATAGGTATTGTACACCCATGATCATTGCAACATTATTCAAAATAGCTAAAACATGGAAGCAACTCAAGTGTTCATTGTCAGATGAATGGACAAACAAAATGTGATATATACATACGATAGAATAGTATTTAGCTTTAAAAAGTGGGAAAATTCTGCAATATGCTACAACATGGGTGAATCTTGAGGACATTAGGCTAAATTAAATAAGTCAGTCACAAAAAGATAAATACATATACTGCATAATTCCACTTACATAAGGTATTAGAGTAGTCAGAATCAGAGACAGAAAGAATGCGGGGTTGCTAGGGCTGGGAAAGGGGAGAATGGGAGTTATTGTTTAATAGGTACAAATTTTCCGGTTTATAAGATGAAACAGTTATGGGGATGGATGGTGGTGAGGACAGCACAACGGTGTGAATGTCTTTATTTATTTTAATATGTTTTTATTGATTTTTTTTTAGAGAGAGAGAGAGAAACAACGATGTGAGAGACAATCAACAATCAGCTGCCTCTTGCTCGCCCCCTACTGGGGATTGAGCCTGAAACCCAGGCATGTGCCCTGACCAGGAATCCAACCAGGACCTCTCAGTCCAGGGGACAACTCTCAATCCATTGAGTCACACCAGCCGGGCAGTGTGAATGTATTTAACACCAATGAACTGTACACTTAAAAATAGCTATGATGATACATTTTATGTGTATTTTAACACAGTAAAAAAGAAAAAATAATTTATATTATGAAAATAATATATGCTCATAACAAAAATCAAATACAGGGACACATTAACAAATAGCCATTCCCCTCTCCCTCAACTTGTACAAATAATTTAAGCTCCTATCAGATAACATAGAGATGCCATTAGCTTACACTGCTAAACCAGCATTTCTCAAAGAGGTGAAAATTTTATCACAATGAAGATCATAATTAAAATACTGCTTCTGTTTAGGAAGCAATGTATAAAGCAGAGAAATTATACTTTATGCAGAAATAAAAGAAAAAAATTTAAAAACAAAGGGTTAAATCTTAGACGGAGTGAAAGCCAATGGGTGTTCGGGGAAAGGGGACAGAAGGCCACCACTTAGTCGTTAGAATATAACCTATGTGTTTGTTCCCTGAAGCATATGTCCCAACTCAAAGACTTAGGGGGAAGAATTCTTATTAAAGTAGTGGTAGAACAGGGCAGAAGATGAGGAACACTTTTACAGCATCATCTTCAACCTCAAAATTCTAAAGTCATATAGGGAAAATGTTCTTATTCTGAATTTAGGGATTAAGTGATTTTTAAGAAGTAACTTGTCACCCTGGTCGGTGTGGCCCAGCTAGTTGAGCATTGTCCTGCACACCAGGAAATTCCTGGTCTGGGGTTTTGGCCTCTGATAGGGGGCATGCAGGAGGCAGCTGAAAGATGCCCCCCCCCCTTCCTCTCTCTCTAAAAACAAACAAACAAAAAACAACATTAAAAAAAAATAAAAGAAAAGAACTTGTCCAGGTCATTCAGCTCTTTGAAGCCTTCCCACCCTGTAACCTGGGCACCATTCAGTTTACATAACCAAGGAACAGGCTGTGAGTCAGCTTCTTGTGAACGTGAGGTGCGGTCAGTCTCCAGCCAGTGAATGAACATCAATGATCATGAACCAACACACAGCAGCTAACTGACCCTAAAACAAATTCCTGACTTGGCTGTGGCCTAGGGATTTGTCAACATTCCCAGTCAAATTCTCTCACCACGATGGGAAATGTCTCACCACGGACTGTCAGAAAACTTTTGTCCAATGTATGTATGATGGTAAAAGATTATGCTTATCAAATAAAAAACTTTATAAAGATCCCTTCCTCCTTTTCCCAAAAGAATTAGGTCAACGTAAAAAAGTTCTGGCCTCACAGACATCCCTTACTTTACAGAACAGGGGCCTTCTAAATAAAGATGGGTGTGGATATAATTTATACCCATTTTCTAACCGATTTTACAATATGGACAATTAAGGCATCAATTAAAGAATTACTGAATTTCTGGTGCACAAGAAAAACACACAGGTCCGAAGTTTTAGTTCCTCCGCAGTCTTCCACTTTTTTTTTTTTTTTTTCTCGTCACTCTGACTTCCACACTTGTCTTTAGGCAACCCCAACTGCCCATCAGGCTCCTGGGACCACACTCACCTCCTAGCCAGCCCAATTCAAGGGCGACAAAACTAGGCTGCAATACCACACTTCACCGGCAGATGCCGAAGCGCTAGCGCTCGACAAAGCCATCTTTCAAATTACGCACAGCCCACCCCGCAGCCATTCAATGCCGACTGTACACTTGCCAGCATCACGCTAGGTGCATCAGGTCACCCCGCACCAGTCGGCTCACCTGGGTAACACGTGAGAATTAGATTAGTTAAATCGTATAAAGAGTTTTGAACGATGACTTAATTATTGTGAAATTGTTGTCAGTTCAACTTGAGGTCCAGGAACTCGGGTCTACTGCAGCTGTTTCAGCAGAGAGGTCTGGGCCCCGGGCTTGCTTTTCAGCCTGTTGGGGCCCTTGTCCTTTTTGCCTGTCGCTTGCCACCAAGCTGCTGCCATGTCCCCCAAGTTGAAATCTGGAACTTGGGTCCTCTCCGGCAAAGTTGGGGTAGGAGGAGTGGTGTCACAGTCGGGCCCAGCCCACCCGGCTCAGGGCGGCCACATCGCCGGCTTGCTGAGGAACTTCTAGGAGGCTGACAGCCCGCGAGGTGGCACTGTGATGAGCAAGAGGTCGCGCTCCCACGGTCTAAACTCAATCCAAAGTTTCCTCCTTTGACCTCCGGGCCTGCGCCCCACCTGCGTGGGGCCCGCAGTCTCCGAGTCGGGCTCCGCCGTGTCCCCGCGAACGGCCAGCCGGGGCGACCTCGGGGGCAGGACGTCCCAGTCCCCCGCGCGCACGGGGGGAGGCGCGGGTGGGGGCCGGCGCCCGCGCGCTCCGGGGGGTACTTCGCGCCGGGCCTCGCGGAAGACGCGCGCGCAGGGAGGCGCCACGTGCCGGGCCCTGCGGCGTAGACGCGCAGCCCTAACCCACGTGCGGGCAGCCGGGCCCGCCGCCCCGCAGCCCCTACCCCGCGCACGTGCGGGCCGCCTCCCCTTCGCCGCCCCGCGCCCAGCCCAAGCCCGGATCCTGGTCCCGGCACCGCAAGGCGGCGCACCGGTGGCCGAGGGCTGCCAAGGGGCGGGGCCGCCGCCCGCATTGTTCCTCCCGAGAGGCCGGCCTCCCCTCCCCTCAGCCCCGGGCGGGGCGCGGGGCCGCTGGAGCCGTGGAACGTGGGCTCGCGCCCCGCCTTTGTCTCCCGGGCGCGAACCGCCGTAGCCCCACGCCAGCCGCTGCAAGAGCCGCGGGGAACGTGGGGCGCAGAGCCGAGGGCGAAGCCTTAACATGGACGTTACCGTCTCGGAGCTCCTGGAGCTCTTTCTGCAGAGCCCGCTGGTGACCTGGGTGAGTGCGCCGGGAGCCTGCCCATTGTTGGCGCACCGGCTCCGCCGCCGCCCGCCGCCCGCAGGCCCGCCCCGCCCGGGGCCCCGCGTGGGCCCGCGACTCGGGGACTTAGCAGGTGTTGCGGCTGGGGTCGAGGTCCGTGCCCCGCGGTCCGGAGGTGTTTTCAACCCTGGAGCCGGCGCTCCCGGCCCTGGGCTCAGTGGGTACACCTGTTCTCGCCGGGACGCTGAGCTGCCGGGCCAGCGGCGGACCGGGTCCGAGTGGTCACCCTGGCTGGCCCCTGTGGCTCGAGCACTCAGGAAAAGGACCCACTCCCCCAAAATACCCTCGTGTAGTTTTTGAACCTGAGACTAGCCGGCGATTGGCGGGACGGGTGTGGATTGGGGGTCTCCGAGTGGGAACGTACAGGCGGTGTGGGCGCAGTGATTTCCAGTGGATCTGAGACGTGAGAAATTTATTGAAAAGTTCCTTTTATTTTTTTTAGTTTTTTTCATATCTGGGCCGCTGTAGAAAAGTGGCGAGGAAGTTTTCCTCCTGTCTCGCGTCTGTTGCCTGGAGCAGGGCAGGGAGAGAGGCCCCGGAGAAGGGTGGGCTTGGTGCCTACTGAAGCGGAGCTGGGCGTTGGGTGACCCCGTCAGCCCGCGCGGGTCCTGCCCGCCATTGCCTTGCAGAGCTGCAGACTGCACGCCGGGTGACTTCTCCTGCCTCTCTTTCCGTGTTACCCCTCCTCGCAGGTGAAAACCTGGGGACACTTCCGAAGTGGAAACGATGACAACTTGGCTGTGTACATGGAGTTAGTGGATGGCATCATTTTGAACCAAATCATGTTGCAAATGTAAGTTGTCTTCCCGGACGGAGGAGAAAAATGATGCTTCAGAAGGTTTGATTTAAGGTTGTAGAAAATGGAACCTGAGTTTTTTATGGGAGGGTTCTTTGCACGTGGGGCCAATGGTATCTCAGTATAAGTGTCTTTTTGCCGCCATTTATTGGGGTATGAAAAACTCCAGGGTAGTGGGTTGGCAGCTTGTTTGAGGAAGGAAATTTGGAATAGAAGGACTGTCAAACACTTGGTGTAGGTGGTGCAGTTAATTTCAAACTCAGGTACTTAATGTGGTTTAAGCAGTTAAATGTAAAAAAACAAAAAACTTTTTGGGGACCAAGGAACTGTAACGGACAGTATTTGGTTACAGGAAGTGTCAGGGGTGGGTCGGGAGCATCTGTGAGTGACTAAGGTTTCACTCTTAGTTAGGACACCTGTGTTTCTGAGCGCTCTTTCATTTTATCTTCCATTTTCATTTGCCCCAGAACAAGTGCAGTTGGTTAAGTCACTCCCCATGAACTGGATTTAAAGTCACTGGGTTAGGAGAGGCACTGAGTGTCAGAATGCTCTGGGACCGTTGTGGAGCATGCATTTTATACAGGGTCTTGTGGAAGTTACACTTGTTAGCGTGCATGTGTGACCACATCCTTTCCTGTTGCTGAATTCAGCAGAGCCTGTCTGATCGACAGCCTGCCACATGTTGGTGTTGGCTCCTACTGCTGCATTCTGTTTTTAACTCAGAAACTAAAGGGGATATATTGGAACTTAGTGTCAATGTGATTCTTAGGCACTTGAAGGAAAATAAAACATCCTAACATTCTCCGTTCTCCGTAGATATGCTCACGTGCAACTAAGTAAGCTGTCATACTTGAGCATAAACCCTTTAGCTGATGAGAATCAGCTTCATTGTGGCCCATGGAGGAGGAGGAGGAGGAGGAGGAGCAGCAGCAGCAGCTAGCTTTGGCATATTCAGAAAGTGGTATAAATAGACTTACCTAACAAGATCTGTTTTAAGAAATTTCCCAAGAACATTGTTCCTTTTGTTTTGAAAGGTCATGTGGTAGCACGCTGTGGGAGAGACACTTCAGTCCTGATGATGTTTTTTCCAAAAGCACTACCAATCTTGTATTTGATTAGATTCCCAACGAAAAATCTGTTAGCTTTGGCAGCACTTCTCTGAGAGCACTGATGAAAATGAGTCTTCCTGGGGTTGTCCCCTGGCATAGTCAAGTTCTGGCTACTACCCCCGCCCTCCCCCATTCTGTTAGACCCTGAAAACTACTGGATTCCATTGGTGCAGTGACCAGTGAAACTTCAAGCTGTCCTTACCCAAGCTCCAAACTATTTAATTAAAAACAAAAACAAAAACAAAAAAACCAGCAGTATCCCCAGCCTTTTCATTCAGCTTTTACACTCAAGCGGAGGGAGAACAAAAGCCGGGGGACTGTTTCTCTTTCTTCCCTGACCTTTGGAATTCCTGAAGCTTTTGCCACTTGCTTGTAAATCAGGAAAGCCTGTTCCATGTTCCGTTGAGAAATGCCAGCTCATCACTAGTTCACACTTGGCCCCTGGCTAAATTCAGTTCGAAGGGCTTCTTCCCTCCCCTTGACAATTTCAACGCTATTTTTCTCGTCTGCCGTTTGCTAAGGTAGTCAGTCTAGAAGTGACAGCTGACTAGTTTGCAGGTCCTGAGGCCTTTAGCAGTGCTTCTGGGTCCTTCTGGGCAGGGCCAAACACAGAAAAGGAACAGCGGGGAAGCCAGAATCTGGGTGGCTTTCCAGAACTAGAAAATCAAGGAGAGAGAGAGAGAGAGAGAGAGAGAGAGAGAGAGAGAGAGAGGCACCAGCAGCACGTGGTTTACTGAGTGACTGATCAGAGTAACCCTGCTCCAGGTGGTAGAAATGAGAACATTAGTTGCCTTGGGAAGGGGGTGGGGATGGACTGGAAAGGGGGTACAGGAGAACTGGGAGGGATTGAAGTTATCTGTGTATTGACTGAAGTTTGTTTCATTTTTCAAAACTCATCAAGCTGTAACTTAAGATATATGCATTTTACTCTATTAAAAAAAAAAAATTCCAGCCCTAGTGTCCACATGTTGGTAGCCAGCCTGGCGGTTGTAGTCCAGGTATCTCTCATTCTAGCTGTTGGATGCTGGGCATGACATTCATCAGCTCAATCTCCTCATCTATAAAATGGGAAGTAAAGTGCCTCCCTTAAGAGATGTTTGTGAGGATTAAATGAGGTGATGTGTTATCAATTAGCACAGTGCCTGCCACTTAAAAGGTATTGGTTTCACCCTGGCCGGTTTGCCTCAGAGGTTGGAGCGTCGGCCTGCAGACCAGAGAGTCCCTGGTTTGGTTCCTGCTAGGGGCACGTACCAAAATATATTTTTTAAAAAGGTGTTAGTGTCGTCTGGCCGGTGTGACTCAGTGGTTGAGCGTCCACTCTTGCACAAAGAGATCGCTGGTTCGATTCCTGGTCAGGACACATGCCCACGCTGTGGGCCCGATCCCCAGTGGGCATGCAGGAGGCAGCCAGTCGATGTTCTCTCTTGTTGATGTTTCTCTCTCTGTCTCCTCCCTCTCACTTCCTCTCTCTCTAAAATAAAATCAATAAAGGAAAAAAATTTTTTAAAAGGTGTTAGTGTCAGTTACTCACTTAGGTATATACTATCTTAATGCAGAAAAGTGTTGAGGCATGCCATAGAGTTGGGTTTTTTCCCTTCAAACTTTCTCCCGCCTTCTTATTGCATAATTCTTGGCCTTAGCCCTCACCCAGTGAGATCTAGGGCAGAGCTGGACTCTGGGACCCGGGTCCTAGCCCCACATCTGACGTTATACTTAAGCTAAACCTTTGTTTTCACTTCTGCCAAATGGAGAAATGTCAGCTAACTAGCAGGTAAGGCCATTCTGCTTTATCTCCCATGCTAGAAACTTCGAGTAGGTGCTAATTCACCTATTCTGATAAATTCTCTCCAGGTTGGTAAGACCTGAGAAAAGAGAGCGGAGTGCTAACTGGGTTGTTGGAGCGCAGATAAGAAGTGTGTCACCTAACACTTCAGAGCCATATGGAGGGGCTGGGGCTCACGTGACTGCACCTGGGCATTGTCTCTGGCAACTGAAGAAGGCTGCGGTAGTAGTCCCTTGGCCCTGGCCTGCCGGTGACATCAGTCCCTGGAAGCAGGAAAGCCCTGTGAGCTCAGCTTTCAGAGGAGGCCCAGGTCCAGGGGATTCCTGAATGAAAGTGAGGCATTGAGTGGCGTGGACGGAGATGCCTGGGAACGGGCTGAATAGCTCCTCTGTAAAGGTAGGGTCTCTGGGTACCTACTGGTGCCCAAGGGAAAAGAAGGTGTCTGATTCACATTGGACACATTTTTCACTGTCTCGCCGGAAAATTATCTCAGAGCTTTGACTGGAGCATCAGGCAGGCAAGTTCAAATCCCCCCTCTGCCACTTAGTAGTTTGTTACCTTGGGCAAATTCCTGAAACTCTGCGCCTCCATTTCCTGATTTGTAATAGGGATGGTACTTGATAGATTTGGAGAGAATGAAAAACATCATGTATCTAGAAAATGCCCAACAAATGTCAAGCATCATCATCGTTAGAGTGAGGCTCAGAACTGGGGCTGTGTGTGTGCCCGCATGCATGTGCTGGTGAGAATGGACACCTTGTGCTTCGACTCAGATTGGAACCAGCAGCCTTTGATTTATTTCCTGCAGCGTGGAGAGGAGGGGGTTACACAGTCCTGCGCAGAGCGGGGTAGACCTTCCTTAACCATAGTTGACTTGTTTTGATTTGGTTCCTAATAACCTTTCTTTACCCTGAGAGCCTTAAAGGAAAGAGTAGTAATTAATGACCTTGATAATTAGTCTAATTGCTCATGTAGTTAATGTCAAGGCTCTTTCGGAGTGTTGTTTCAGTTAACTACTGCTCTTCAGAACTGGTGACAACACAGCAGCGATGGTCAGAGCCCAGGCCCGACCTGGGTGCATGTAGTGTCCCCAAGTGTCCTGAGGCTCTTTAACTTCTACTCCTGGGGCCGTCCCATCTGACCCAGAGGAAAGCTGAGGCGACAATAACAAAACAGAAAAAGTCCTGCATGTTCTCTAAGTGCTGCTGTATTAAGAAGCACATTTGTCACTTGATGAAATTGCGTATCTCTTAATGTACTGTAGTCAAGGGAGAATTGCATCTTCAGTGTAAATGATTTTGTAATGCTCGGCGCACTTCTGCAGCTAAAAGTGCCTTTGTGCTTTCAATTCCGAATGCCTCCTTTATTCCTAAATTAATTTCCACTCAACTGTTAACCTTCATTTTCTCAGTAATGAATGGCTCCACAAGAAACGCATAATGTGTAGATGGGTTGGCCAGACTCTATTACTGTGTGGAGACAGTAAAAAATGCTGTCACATGACAGTTGAAAAGAGGTCCTCTGGTTTCCCCCTGTGACTATTTTAGGGAACACAGGATGATTGAATAACATCCATGGCTGAGTATTGCCTTTATTGCGTAAAGTGGTTCGCGTACACACAACGCAATACTTACTTAATGGTTGAATTTAATTAATTTGTTTTTTAGAACTAAAATGGTGCCACATTAGGACTTCTGAGAGAACCAGAGCGGGAAAGATTATTCAGACAGAAGACTGTCATCCTTCTCTTCAGGCAGAAGGTTGGCAGGCTCCGTCACCTCACCAGTGGTCCTTCTTTGCTCCAAGTCCTTCTCAGATTTTTCCTTGAGAATCTTTATCTTTAACCTGTAGAACTCTTCTCACTCTCTCTGAACCAACTCCGATGTCAGTGAGGGTACCTTTGGTCTGGGGGATGATAACATGTCCAGAGGCGTTCACACCCTCGCGGTCCTCTTAGTAGCTTCATCCAGAATAGCAAACGAGGCTCTTTCCGCCAGGAGCTCCGTCGCTTCGGCCCAGTTCCTCATTCGTTTGGCCCGCAGTTCCCCGCCTCTGGCTAAACCGGTCAGTTCATAACTGTCATTTCTTCATGGTAATGCTCCAACACTGGCAAGGTGACACTTGCTACGTCCTCTTTCTTTGCCCACACCTTCACTTGGGCTTTGTTTGCACTTTGGATCACTGGCACTCAAGTCCCCTGCTGTGAACTTGGCCTCAGCCAGGGAAAAGCTTCTCTCCTCATTTCACCCATCACCATTTTAGTCTCTGTGATCTTTAGGATCTGTTTCAATCAAAGAGGTAAGGCATCAGATTTTTTCCTTAGAAGGTTTTGACCAACTGTGCTCCGTTTAATCGAGCCTTCATGTTGGTCTGTGCTGTTCGCCAGGGAAAGATTTAAATTCGGTCTTTGCCCGACTGTTCGGCTGGAGTTCCTGGCTGGGCAGTTGAGGCTCCACAGACCCAGCCATGGTGTCATCCTTGTGTCCTGATTGAGTTTTTTTTTTTTTTTTTGGTCCTCACCAGAGGACATTTTTGCCTTTATCTTCAGATAGAGCAGGAGAGAGGGAGGAAGAGAGAAAGAGAGAAACATCGATGAGAGAGACACATAGAGTGGTTGCCACCCTCACAACCTCAATAGGGGCCAGAGACAAACTGCAACCGAAGTGCGTGCCCTTAGCGAGAACCGAACCCGGGACTCTCTGGTCCGTGGGCTGATGCTCTAACCGCTGAGCAAAACTGGCCAGGGCAAGATTGAGTTTTAAATAGCGCGTGTGTGTGTATGTGTGTCTGTTTTAAAAATTGTACTTCCAGTCACTTTTGAGATGATTTCTATTTGTCGATATTTTTCCCTTGTCAATTTCGTATTACTTATGACTTAGAATGAGCTGAATGGCATTGAGATTGATTTCCATACCCCCCTGAACTCCCCTTCATTATGGAGGGGGCAGGTTTCCGCAGAGAGAGGAAGAGGCCTGCCTCTCCCATCAGACAGCTCCCAGGAGGCTCAGAGCCCTTATCGCGGGGCTCAGATGACAGATGAAACCATGAACGCAGCCCTCATTTGCATTGACATCCCTCCCTGTGTTGGGACAGTAACACGGGGGAGGGCTTTGTTATGAAAAGCAGTAAAGGTGGCAGCTCAGTCTGTCCCATTGAGTCTGTTCTCTTCAGATGGGAAATCTTTTTTTGACACTGAGAATTTTGAGAAATAGCCTGTACATATATAGATGAGTGAAATTATAAGTCACTTGATTCAGGTGTCTGGTTTCATCACAACCAGCCCTGACTCTTGCCTGAGTGTGGAAAATAAATGACGCTTTGGGGGTTTCCCACATGAATTATTGTATCTACTGTTAGCATTTCCCTAGGCAGCGCTGTACACCGTACAGGCCACGGACTGGTGATGTCGGTTTTTCCAGGCGGAATTGGGTCCCTGGAATGTATAATCACAGGCAGCACCAGCCCGGGACCAGTGCTAGTGACAGAGGAGGGGAACCCATGTGCAGTGGAACATGAATGGTTTTTATTGGTTAAATTAAAAAATATGCCATTTTTTCCTTTTTCTTTCTTGATACTTCATATATTTTGGTGTATTCTGGTTTTAATCCTTTTAATCTTGAAATATATTTTGGGATAGCTTATTGATTTTTACAGCATAACTTTTGGTGGTTTATGGGTGCTGCTCACAGTGGGAAGGGAAGTGACATGGGTCAAGGGCCTGGGCAGGGTCAGGGGCTTGAGGCGGCAGCAGGAGTGATGTGGCTTGTCGAAGGTCCACGGCGGGGCAGTGGCAGAACCTAGACCTGGAGAGGACTACACGCCGCTGGGAAGGGAGGTGTGGCAGGTGCTGGGAGATGCCATTTCCATCCTCGTGTTTCTTCCCGCAGAGATCCCAGGCCTACAAATCAGCGCATCAACCAGCACGTCAACAATGATGTGAACCTTCGCATTCAGAACTTGACCATCCTGGTGAGAAATATTAAGACCTTCTACCAGGTAAGGGCAGCTGTCTGTTCCCTGGGAGTTCTGTGCCCCTGGCGATTTTGTCACTCAAACGGTTTCCCCACAGGGAGGCCTGGGGAAATGGTGTTCACGGTCTAGCATCTACTTGCTGATACTTGATGTGTTTGTTTCACTTGAATCTTTGTTTTTGCACTGTGAGAGGTGTCAGACGCTGGATTGCTTTACTTTGTCCAGCGAATGTTCTTCCAATGGTGTGTAAGAAACATCTTGTGTGGTGCTGTGAGGGCCCCAGAGAGGAGCCCTGGGTTGCCGCTGTGGCCCCAGGCGCCAGCTGCATGGGGAGTGGCTGAAGTGGGCTCTCCGGGGGGGGGGGGGGGGCACCCTGATGGGGTTATCGCCTACAGCTCAGCGAGACTTTGTACAGCAGCATTTCAAGGGGTTGAAGCAGATAAGGGACCGCAGAAAGGTTATGTCGGGCCAGGACCGTAATCGACAAGCCCCCAGCTTGAAGACAGAGCACTGGGGTTCACGGTGCAGAGTGTCCCCTTGTCAGGTGCTCACCATATCTCATTAGCAGGGTGGTGGGTAGGAGGACCTGACGGGGAAGAGCTATGAAAATTCTCATAGCAGCCTTGTGAGGGTCAGGTGAGAGTCGTTTTTTGTTTTTTGTTTTTTTGGTTAATCCTCACCCAAGGATATTTTTCCATTGATTTTTAGATACAGTGGAAGGGGCCCTGGCCGGTTTGGCTCAGCGGTTGGAGCGTCGGCCTGCGGTACAGAGAGACCCGGGTTCGGTTCCCGCTAAGGGCATGTACCTCGGTTGCAGTTTGTCCCCGGCCCTGGTTGGTCGTGTGGGTGGCAGCCACTCGATGTGTCCCTTCACATCGATGTTTCTCTCTCTCTCTCTCCCTCCCGCTCTATCTGAACAAAAAATGGAAAAATGTCCTCGGGTGAGGATAAAAAAAAAAAAAAAAAAAGATACAGTGGAAGGGAAGGAGGGAGAGAGAGAGAGAGGAAAACATGGATGTGAGAGAGACACACTGGTTGGTTGCCTCCCACACTACCACCCCGACCAGGGCTGGGGACCGAACCTACAATCCAAGTACGGGCCCTTAACTGGGAATTGAACCCAAGACCTTCAGTCTGAGGGCCAACTCTCTAACCGGCCAAGGCCAGGTGAGAATCTTTGATGTTTACGGTCTTGCTATGGCTAGCACTGATGCAGTATGGACTTAAAGTGCCCTACAGGGCGCTGGTTTCAATTTTTTTCTTCAGTACTCTTTAGTACTGAAACTTTTTTTCCCCATATGAGGTTTTTTTAAGATCTCAGGTGAAGCCCAATGACTGTGATTGACTTGGGGGTTAGGGGGCCCCAGTGTCCTCTGTTCAATCCCCTCTCCCTCCAGGGCATCTCTGTGGTTCCTGGACCCTAGGACCCTAGGAAACATGGTTCGAGAACCAGTCGCTGCTCAACAAGTCCCAGAGTTACGCCAGGGTTTCATTGAGGTCTTGGGCCAGACTCTGCCTCTGAGACCTGTTTTTAGCTGTCGGTTGTGTTCATCCCATGGCCTGTTGGCAGTATAGCACCCTTACTCTCTGAGCAGCGTCTAGGAGACTTACCACCAGCCCCCCATCCTTTAGTTAGAAATTCTAGCTGTGCTGGGGAGGGGTGGGGTCCGGGTGGGGCCTGGGAGAGCTTGAGCTGGGGGCTGAAGTGGCTTCTTACCTTCGCCTGAGGGGAGGCACAGTCGGGGCCAGGCATGCTGCGGCTGTTGGGTTTCGGCTGGTGCTATCCTTGTAAGGCCACGGAAGCTGGTCACGGGCAGTGGTGCGGCCACTGAACTTGGTCTGGGTGTGGAGGGGGCTTGATTCCTGGCTGTAGGTACCATTTGTGGTGAGCAGGTGCTTTTGATGCTGTGTGCTAAGTGCCAAGGGAAGCCAATGGTGCTAACAGTTTAAGAGACAAGACTCCTAACTCAGGCTGCAGGGGGGGAGTTGGCGAAGGATTCTTGGAGGATGTGACATCTGAGTGCAATTATGGGGGCAACTAAGTTTCCACGTTTGGAGGGTTGTGGGAAGGCGACAGGTGGAAAGGCTATTGAGGTAGAAGAAGTCCTGGAGGCACAGGGCACTTCTGTCCTCCACCTGTCACAGTCAGCACTTACCACAGTTGCTTGGGTGAAGGCCTGTTTCACCAAGTTTCAGATGAATCAAAACCAGGTGAAGCCCAGCCGGTGTGGCTCAACCCACGCACCAAAAGGTTGCCGGTTCGATTCCCGATCAGGGCACATACCCAGGTTGTGGGCCCAGTCCCCAGTGTGGGGCATGCAGGAGGCAGCCAGTCGATGTTCTCTCTCATTGATGTTTCTATCTCTCTCTTCCTTTCCCTTCCTCTCTCTCTAAAAATTAATAAAGAAAAAAAAAACAATAAAAAAATAAAAAAACAGGTGAGATGTCCACATGGGACTCTTGACAGGTGGGCCTCCCACGTCCGGTGTAGCTGGGAGGTAATAACCATCCCTTATGGCAGAGACGAAGGTTTCAGGTGGAGGTGGGTCTCTGAAGCTCTCCGTGAGCAGCTCGGAGCAGTCAGGCTCTGGTGCACGCTGTTTGGCTGTGCAGGTGCTGTCCTCTGGTCTCGCTGGTCGAGTAGGGTGTACACCGATGGTGATCAGCAGCCCTGACCGTCAGGTCTGGGCTGGCCAAGGGGGCTCGACACTGCTTGGGACCATGTCGAATTGCAGGCAGTTTGCTGCTCTTGGGGCCCTGTTCCCAAACATGGGAGCCATCACGGGAGGGAAAAGATGACCAGTCCACCCTCAGAGCCCAGAAAATTACAGGTAGAAAGAAGGACCCTGCCTCCTCGCTTGGCTTCTGTGCTGTGAGCTCTTTGAGGGCAAGGATGATGTGTGGCCGCCTCAGCCCCGGGGGCCCACAGTAAGTGTTCGCTGAAGTGCTTGCTGAAGTCTGCAGAGTATCCCTGGCCCTTAGTCCTGCTCCTGTGGAGGGAGCTGCAGGACACTTGGGGGCTGACACAGGTCAGTGTGGGCAGGGTTGTGCTGTGTATTTTTTCCTTCCGATGTATTGTATTAAATAAAGTTAAGTTCTGCTCATGTAAGTAATAGTGCTTTCAAAAAAAAATTTTTTTTTAATTGATTTTTAGAGAGAGAGGAAGGGAGAGGGAGAGAGAGCTAGAAACATCAATGAGAAAGAACACTGACCAGCCGCCTCCTGCATGCCCTCCACTGGGGATCAGGCCCACAAGCTGGGCATGTGCCCTGGCCAGGAAATGAACCAGCAACCTCTTGATTCATGGGTTGATGCTCAACCACTGAGCCACACCGGCTGGGCTAATATGTGCTTTTTATAAACAGCTTGGGAAACAAACAAGTAGCGAGAAAAAAGAACCACCTATAATCCCAGAGTCACTTGGAGCAGTTTTAGTGTTTCTTTGGTTTGCATGAATAGGTTTGTTTCACGCCACTGTGGTCGTGCTTATATACAATTGCACATCCTGCCTTTTTTCCCTTCCACCTGGCATTGTAGCATAAATACAATTGGTTATTATTGTAAGGCGACATTCAAGAACGTTTTCCAAAAGAAGTACTGCCCAGCATCCCCTTTTTGTGAGGGCTTGGGTGAAGACTGACAGGCATCATTCCTTGCTCTGACCAGGGAGGGCGAGAGGTCCACCCCCAAGTAGAGTGGGTCTCCCTCTTGCCTGTGGCTTTTCAGTTAGACATGTCAAGGTCACAGAATCCAGCCCTGGGTCTTGTTTTCCAGGCAACGGTTCTGCCACCCTGGCTGTCCTTTTCTGAGGCATCATGGGACAGGGACAGTTAGGAAGGCCAGGGGCCTCTCTTGAATAGCATGGGCTTGCTTCACAGGGAAGCTCATGTGTGCCTCTGAAAACCTGTGGAGACTTTGTCCTTGACCCTTATCAGAGGACAGATGGTGGGTGAGAAGCAGCATGGCCAGGTTCAATCTGACCGGGTGTCTCAGCCAGGGTCTCAGGTCTCCTCCTGACCTGCTGCTTGGCCTTTCTTGGGTTGGGGTCAGGAGTCTGTACTTTCAGAAGTTCTCCGGCGGTTTGAGTCTCACCATCCTTCCTATTGCGTTGGAAATCAGTGGGCTAGAGTGGTGGTTCTCATAGTAGGGTTCCCAGGCCAGCAGTAGCAGCATCACCTGGGAGATTGTTAGAAACACATCTGACATGTGATCAGTCTCGGCATTTTAAAGAAGAAAGGCTGATCAGGCCAGGGGGTCCGGGGCACCAGCTTTAGAACAGGCACCCCCAAATGGTGAGAGTCCTGGAGGAGAGACGAACCTAGAGCAGAGAGAGCTCATGCTGCCTAAAGCTGCTTGGTCAGCTTTGTGCTCAGTTCCCACAATGCTTGTTGTACTTGCTCAACAGCCAAGCTCTTTTTTATCTGAGTCTTCCTTTTAAATTTAATTTTGGAGTTACACAGGGGTTCATTTTTTACATCTGAGCCTGGAGTCCTCACATTAGACACAAGTTCATTTGATAGTGGAACCAGTAGGAAAAGAAGGCTAGGATAGCAGAAAGCCCCCGTGCAACAGACAGCGGGCGTTGTGCATGGTGTCCCACTGCCCTTCCCTGCCCTGGACACCTGCGACAGTCCACAGTCACATGATGGCCAGAGACAGCCAAGGTTTAGAGTTCTGATCATCTCAGGAATTTTATGAGTTCCTTGAACTTGGCTCTTCTTACTTCTGGTCTCTCACAGTGGTTAGAAAGCTCAGCAGACACAAAATATTGTTCTTTTTTATAACTTTTAAAAAATATGTTTTCATTGATTTTTTTTTAGAGAGAGAGAGGAAGTGAGAGAGAGAAACATCCATGTGAGAGATACATGATCGGCTGCCTCCTGCACGCCCCCTACTGGGGATCGAGCATGCAACCTGGGCATGTGTCCTGACCAGGAATCAAACCGGGACCTCTCAGTCAATGGAAGGACACTCAGTCCACCCAGCCATACTGGCTGGGCTATTTCTCAGAAGAAATAGTTGAG